TCTACAAAATAATTAAGAAAAAAATTAGCCAGATGTGGTTGCACATGCCTGTAGTCCCAGCTGCTCAGGAAGCTGAGGGGTGAGGAGATTGCTTGAGCCTGGGAAGCGAAGGCTGTAATGAGCCATGATTATGCCATGCACTCCAGCCTACTGGTGACAGAGAGACCTTGTCTCAAAAAAAGAAAGATAAAAACATTAAAAAAGAGCTTTCAGGCAAAAAGCAGAATTTTAGAAAATTTTTTGTACCCACCTTTGTGAGCTTGATACTTTCTGAATACATGAAGGCTTTCTGATAAGATCAGTGGTGACATTACACAGATGATTTTTAAAATACTGTATAATGAAACCATTAACATTTTAAATGTTTACATTACTCAGTAAACAAGTATTTTTGAATAACCAATGCATGATACTACAAAATTGCATACAGGTAAAAGATCCATTCAGACTGTGAGATGAATTGTATTAGATGCTTATTGCTGAGTAAAAAATTGTTCCAAAATTAAACTGTGTGAAAAAAACAAATGTTTGTGATCTCAGTTTCTTTGGGTTGGAATGTAGGTGTGGTCTTTGGTTGGGATCTCCTACAAGGGTGTGGTCAGCATGTCAGCTGGGCTCTCATTCATCTAAAGCTGAAATGGAGGAGGACCTCCTAAGCTCTTTCACATGGCTGTTGCCTGGGGACAGCCATTCTTACACAGAGCAAATGAGAGAGCCAGAGCAGGCAGCCCGAGATGGAAGCTACGTCTTGTAACATAATCTGGAAGTGAAATCGTATCAGGTCTGCCACATTCTGTTCAGTCCTACTTGTACTCAAGGTAACCACACACAAGTTAGGAATACGGGGGGCTGCCTAGAGATTGCCTACCACATAGTACGGTGGGTTTTAATGCAGCAGTATGAAAACCTCATGGATAAGATTTCAGATTCCACTTTGCAACTGTCCTCTAAGAAGCTACCACTGGTTAAGTATTGGTGTGCAATTATCGAAGGCTTTAAAACACTCCTCCCTGCTGGGTATGCTGGCACAGGCATGTGGTCTCAGCTTCTCGGGAGGCGGAGGCAGGAGTATGGCTTCAGCCCCCGAAGTTGTTGGCTGTAGTGCCCTGTGCTGATTGTATGTCTGTACTAAGTTGGGAATCAGTATGATCTGCCGGCAGTGGAGGACCACCAGGTGACCTGAGGAAGAGGAATTGGAGCAGTGCCAATCAGTAGAGGGATTGTGACTGTGAATGGCCCCTGCACTTCAGCCTGGGCAACACAGTGAAACCCCCATCTTGTAAAACAAAAAGCCCACTCCTCCCTTTTACAACTGTGTGTCTGCATGAGGGTAAATTTTAATTTTCTTTCTGTACTTGAACTAAGAGAATAGCAGATCTGAAGGTCCAGGTGTCTTCTCTGATGCAAACATGAACAAATACGTGGACACGCAAACCTGCCGCTCTTCTCACTATGGCTTTTCTCCACCTTTCCCTCCCCTATTCTTTGAATCTCCTTCTGAATCTCCTTTAGCTCTTTATAGCTTAGTCTCTTTGGCTTCAATGACCAGTACTTCTATTAGGTGGGCAGTAGAGTGAGGATGAAGGACTGATGTTTGCTTATGGTAGACAGCTTGGAAGAGCCAGGAGACCACATTAAAAAGGCAGGTAGGAGTAATGGTCCCAGGCCTGTGGTCTGAGAGGTTTTTGCTTAGACATAGGGTAAATGGAGGGAAGACAAATGGGAAGAGAGTTACTAGCCCAAGGAGTAAAAGGAGTTGGGTAGAAGGATGGCGATAAGAGGAACTAGTATGTCCAGATCGAGTGCCTTGAAGAGAGCGGGGAATTGGGAAGGGGATATGAAATAATGTGGAATATTGACTTCTCTGCCTTTGGCAGTTTAAAAGTAGAAGCAAATTACCTTTTATGTGCCACCTTTCTAAAATAATATACTTTCTTAGGCAGCTGTTCTATCTTACTCTAAGACATCCTCAGTTTCTTAATTATTAGAGTTGAAAAGTATCAGACATCTAGTTTTTAAAAAAATAGTAATTTTTTTTTTTAAGAGACAGGGTCTCAGTACGTTGCACAGCCTGGGCTGGAACTCCTTGGATCAAGTGGTCCTCTGACATCAGCCATCTGGGCAGCTGGGACTGTAGGCACACGTCACTGCACCAGCGCCAGTTAACTGGTTTTGAGGCATTCTTTGGCAGGTTATATTATTTCTGCTAGAAGCCATATACATTTGAAATCGGAGCTCTTGATCAAAAATAGTTCCAAGATTGAAAAGTGCTATATTCGTTGCTTTTTCTTGAATAGGAATGAAGGAATAGGAATAAAAATTTTTATTTTTATTAAAAATAGAATTTGGCCGGGCCTTATGGCTCATGCCTGTAATCCCAGCACTTTGGGAGGCTGAGATGGGTGGATCACCTGAGGTTAGGAGTTTGAGACCAGCCTGGCCAACTTGGTGAAACCCCATCTCTACCAAAAATACAAGAATTAGCTGGGCGTGGTGGTGGGCGCCTGTAATCCCAGCTACTCGGGAGGCAGAGGTTGCAGTGAGCTGAAATCGTGCTACCAAACTCTAGCCTGGATGACAGGAGCAAAAACCCGTCTCAAAAAATAAAACAAAATAAAATATAAAGTTCAGGCCAGGCGTGGTAGCTCACACCTGTAATCCCAGCACTTTGGGAGCTTGAGGTGGGCAGATCGCCTGAGGTCAGAAGTTTGAGCAAGACTAGCCTGACCAATATGGTGAAACCCTGTCTCTACTAAAAGTACAAAAATTAGCCAGGTGTGGTGGCATGTGCCCGTAATCCCAGCTACTCGGGAGGCTGAGACAGGAGAATTGCTTGAACTGGAGGTGGAGATGGCAGTAAACAGATCATGCCACTGCACTCCAGCCTGGGTGACAGAGCGAGACTCCATCTCAAAAATATATATGTAGTAATAATAATAAAATTCAGGCTGAGCATGGTGGCTCATGCCTGTAATCCCAGCACTTTGGGAGGCTAAGGTGGGAGGATTCCTTGAGCCCAGGAGTTTGAGACTAACCTGGGCAATATAGTGACACCCGCGTCTCTTTAAAAAAAAAAAAAAAAAAAAAATGCTGACTGGTGCTGTGTACTTGTAGTCCCAGCTACTTGGGAGGCTAAGGCAGGAGGATGGCTTGAGCCCAGGAGGATGGAGTCTGCAATGAGCCATGATCACACCACTGCACTGCAGCCTGGGCAACAGAGTGAGACTGTGTCTCAAAAAATAAAAAAATAAATATGAAAATGTATTACAAAATCTCTTTTCCCAAAGGTAAATGTGATTCTTTGACATAAATACTGACACATGTATGTGGATGATACACAAATGAATATGTTTTAAACAAATGAAGTTTTTAACATGTTCTGCATTTTTTCGTTGCTTTGTTTTGTTTTGCTTTTTACTTGATAGTTCTGCATTTATTTTTTTGTAGCAATTATCCTATATAATTACAAACATCCTATATTTTTACAAATTATCCTATATAATTTTATTTAGCAATTATCCTATATAATTACAAACACAAGTTATTGGGAAAGATGTTTTGACATGGGATGGATAGTTCTGGATGTTAGCAATTATCGTATGTAATCACAAACACAAGTTATTGGGAAAGATGTTTCGACATGGGATGGGGGATTCTGTGTTCCCGGTCTAATCTGATACTAATCATTATTTATTAACACAGAATTATTCTGGTTCTATGCTGGCCACTCTTGCCATAAGCCAACTTTATAACTTAAAGTTCATATTGAGGGAATTATGAACAGCCTTTATTTATTGTAATGTACATAAAGGATATAATTTGGTTAGGTTTAAGAACACATGGGAAGATAACATTTTGATTCTTGCATTCTAGACCTTATCTGTAAAATACTTAAAGACTGGGTAATAGACACTACAGGGGGAGTAGACCACCTTAAGTGAATCCATTTATTTTTCTATCATTAAACCATTGTGTAACCGTGGAAAAAATTTTTCAAAATTAAAGATTTTTTTGTGTCTTTATCTTTTGCATGTGTGTCCAGTCACTAAGAAATAGTCCTTAAGTCTTATGGTTTAGGAGGTGGAGTTACTCTATACAACAGGGCAGTCAGATCCCGAAGACTAACCTGAATTGGGTATTTGCAGCATGTGTGTGGCTTCATCTCTATGTGGTGTCATCGTCAAAATCATCTTGATACCATCAGTTGGATATTAGGATAGTAAACATTTATTTTTTTTGAGATGGAGTTTAGCCTTCTTGCCCAGGCTGGAGTGCAGTGGCGAGATCTTGGCTCACTACAACCTCCGCCTCCCAGATTCAAGAGATTCTCCTGCCTTTGCCTCCCAAGTAGCTGGGATTACAGGTGCGCACCACCACACCTGGCTAGTTTTTTTGTATTTTTAGTAGAGACGAGGTTTCACCATGTTGGTTAGGCTGGTCTTAAATTCTAGTTGGTGATCCACTGCCTCGGTCTCCCAAAGTTCTGGGATTACAGGAGGCATGTAGGCAGGATAGTAAACTTTTTTTTTTTTGAGACAGAATTTCATTCTTATTGCCCAGGTTGGAGTGCAGTGGCACAGTTTGGCTCACTGCAACTTCTGTCTCCCAGGTTCAAGTGATTCTCCTGTCTTAGCCTCCCAAGTAGCTGTGATTGCAGGCATGTGCCACCCCACCTGGCTAATTTTTTTGTATTTAGTAGAGACGGGGTTCATCATATTGGCTAGGTGGGTCTCAAACTCCTGACCTCAGGTGATCCACCCGCCTCGACCTCCCAAGTGCTGGGATTATACGCATGAGCCACCATGCCCAGCCGATGGTAAGCTTTTTACACAGGTTTGATCAAGTCTCTTAACGGGGCCTTAATTTTGTCATTTATTATACAAGATGGCTAGATGGAAGGTGTTTGGGTTAATTATATGTGAATAATTTCAAACTTGAAGCACTTTTATTTTTTGAGGGAAGGCACCTTCATGAATCTGTGTTTCAAAGCAAGAAATGCTGTGCTCACTTATGCAGCAGGCATACTAACACTGGAACAACACAGAGAAGATTGGCATAGCCCCTGTGCAAGGATGGCATGCAATTCCTGAAGTGTTTAATACTTTCCATTTAAAAAAATACTTTTAGATAAGGACGTTTCTAGAATTGTTTCAAAATTAATGTTAATTCTATTTTTTCTTCCCTAAAGCCCCTAAAAGACGACGGCCTGCACGTTCAATTTTTGATGGTTTCCGGGATTTTCAGACTGAAACCAGTAGGTATCTGTGGACCAGTTTATCATCTCTCTCTTCCCTTCTTCTCTTATTAAAAAGAAAAAGATGATTACTGTTAGGCCTAATTACTTTGCGGTTTCACCTTTTTAAAAAGTGAAATTATGTATTGAGAATGTGATTAATTCTCTCCTGAGCTGAATTGTTCCAAATGCTAACCTATTGGGTTATAGAAAAATAGTAAAAGAGATGCAGATAATGCAGGAAATCTGGTAATTGATAAACTTAATTAGCTTGTGAATAAACACGTAAAGTGCTTACTGTGATAAAATAAACTGACTTCCCTTGGGACCCTGATTTCTATCAGTGAAAGGAATATATAATAAAAATGGTTATTGAAAGAGATTGAAAAACGCAAGAAAAAGCCACACCACTCAAGGCAGCCACTATTAATATTTTGGTTACCCTTGTTTGAAATATTTTCGTGTAATAAGTTAGAATGAGAATGTTGGTCTTACACTTTTAGCGGATTTAGTACTGATGTAGCAATGGAATCCTAAAGAAAGGACAGTTATGTTAAGAGGATATATGAGAAACCCTTGGACTATGCTTGATTTTGCAGTTTATTTATAATGAGTTCATGGAGGCACAGATAGGTCATGTAACTTTGGAGAGCATTGATGAAGAAACTAATCTAGGGAATCCCGTTTCCTTCCAGTGGAAGGTGACAGCAGTGGTCATCTACTGCCAGAATCTTTTTTATTATTATTATTATTTTGTTTTGTTTTTGAGATGGAGTCTCACTTTGTCACCGGGCTGCAGTGCAGTGTCACGATCTGGGCGCACTGCAAGCTCCACTCCCCAGGCTCAAGCAATTCTCCTGCCTCGGCCTCCTAAGTAGCTGGGATTACAGGCGCCCGAAATACGCCCAACTAATTTTTGTATTTTTAGTAGAGGCATGGTTTCACCTTGTTGCCCAGGCTGGTCTTGAACTCCTGACCTCAGGTGATCTGCACATCTCAGCCTCCCATAGTGCTGGGATTACAGGCATGAGCCGCCGGGCCTGGCCCTGAATCTTTAAAGATTGAGAACATAGCTGAAAACAGCAAATGAATTTACATTGCTTTCAGAACTAGATAAATGAGGATGAAAGTTTTCCCCTATGCTTTTTGTTCTGTTTTGTTTGAGATGGAGTCTCACTCTGTTCCACAGGCTGGAGTGCAGTAGCGTGATCTCAGCTCACCGCAGCCTCCACTTCCTGGGTTCAAATGATGCCCCTGGCTCAGCCTCCTCGAGTAGCTGGGAGTACAGGCATGCACCACCAACCATGCCTGGCTAATTTGTTCTTTTCTCGGCTCACTGCACCCTCTGCCTCCAGAGTTCAAGTGATTCTCCTGCCTTAGCCTCCTGAGTAGCTGGGATTACAGGCGTGCGTCACCATGCCCAGCTAATTTTTGTGTGTGTGTATATTTAGTAGAGATGGGGTTTCACTATGTTGGCCAGGCTGGTGTCAAACTCCTGACCTAAGGTGATCCTCTCAGCTCGGCCTCCCGAAGTGCTGGGATTACAGGTGTGAGCCACCGCGCCCGGCCTCCCCCATGTTTAAGTTAGCTTCTGAGTATGTGAAGAAGTTGCTTTGATCATGTGACTATTTTCACTTAATTTTCTTTGTATCCTCTGGATAGGGAATACCACCGAGTCTTAAGATTCCTCTGATTCCTCTTTGCATTTTTTTTTCAGAGTCAGCATTAGATCTTTATATTTGAGGTCAAGCACATTGTCAGCAACTCCTTCAATTGACAGAAGTTTTTTTTTTTTTAATGGGATTTGTGATTTTTTTTTTTACAGCTAACTGAAATGTTTTCATCCTTCTGTATTATATATAGTTCGGCAAGAACAAGAATTAAGAAATGGAGGAGCTATAGATAAGAAATTGACTACCCTTGCGGATCTGTTCCGGCCACCCATTGATTTGATGCATAAAGGCAGCTTTGAAACAGTAAGTTACTGGAGATTCTGTGCCTCAACTATGAGTGCTTTTGCATTTTCACTGCCTTTTTTTAAAAAAGTTACTTGTTTTAGAGACAGGGTCTTGCTCTGTCATACAGGCTGGAGGGCAGTGGCACAGTCATAGCTCACTGCAGCCTTGAACTCTTGGGCGCAAGGGATCCTCCCACCCCAGCCTTTCAAGCAACTAGGGCTATGGACATGCACCACCGCACTCAGCTAATATAAAACATTTTTTTTTTGGTAGAGATAGGGTCTCATTATGTTGCTCAGGCTGGTCTCAAATGCCTGGGCTCAAGCAATCCTCACACCTCAGCATCCCAAAACGCTCAGATTACTGGTGTGAGCCACTGCACCTGGCCTTCAGTGGCATTTTTTATAAGAGCAATAAACCATTTTCAATATACAGGGAATTGGCATCATGATAAGTATATCTATGTGATATGCATAAAGATTACACTGATTTCTATTTCTATCAGCAATATATGAAATACGTTTCTCCCAGCAGTGTAGATTGTTGGATAAAATCCTTTTCTTAGCCTTGCGTGGTGTCATTTTGGGATCTTTGCCATTTTGATAGCTTTTTATAATATCTCACTTGTTCCTGTATCTTTGGCTGCTACAGAGACTAATGTGTGTGGTTTGCCATTTGTGAATTGTTTACAGGTACTTTTGCCTGTATTTCTGTGCGGATCCTAGTGTGTTTGAAAAGAATCTCTCTAATTGGAGAACACATACATCCTCGGTTCTTCTTGGTTTTATCATGACTGAGCCCAAGGAGAAACTTCCCAGTGTATGTTTACTTGGTTGTCTGCTAACTTTCAGACTTACTGAGGGCAGAGGGAAGGTACTCTTTTTAATAATCTTTGGGACCCAGTCTCAGGCATTAAGAGTCATACATTATGTGTTAAATGACGGAGTTTAGTAAAGCTTATACTCTTCTGTTGAGCTGTTCAAACAGCTTGCTTTTTCATGTTGACTAGTATGTTAATGCTCTTTTGAATCACAGTAGCATTTTCATAGATGTAAATCACTTAAATTTTAGTTAAGTCTTCTTTTTTTATTTGAGACAGAGGTTCACTCTTATTGCCCAGGCTGGAATGCAGCAGTGTGATCTTGGCTCACTGCAACTTCTGCCTCCCAGGTTCAAATGAGTCTCCTGCCTCAGCCTCCTGAGTAGCTGGGACTACAGGCGTGCACCACCACGCTTGGCTAATTTTGTATTTTTAGTGGAGATAGGGTTTCTCCATGTTGGTCATGCTGGTCTTGAACTCCCAACCTCAGGTGATCCGCCCACCCCGGCCTCCCAAAGTGCTGAGATTATAGGCGTGAGCCCCCTCCACCTTTTTTTTTTGAGATTGGTTCTCATTCTGTCACCTGGGATGGAGTACAGTGGCAGAATCATAGCCCACCACAGCCTTCAACTCATGGTCTCAATTTATCCCCTCGTCTCAACCTCCCAAATACCTAGGGCTACAGACACCCACCACCACACCTGGCCAATTTAAAAAATACTTTGTAGAGAAGGGGGTCATGCTATGTTGCCCAGGCTGATCTTGAATTTCTAGTGTTAAGTGATCCTCCCGCCTTGGCTCCCAAAGTGCTAGGATTACAGGCATGAGCTGAGACCCCATTTCTTAAAATAAATAACCAATGTATATCAGCTGCATATTTGAACATGTTGTGATTATATATATATATATATATATATAATTTTTTGAGACAGAGTCTTGCTCTGTTGTCAGGAGCCAGGCTGGAGTGCAGTGGCGCAATCTGGGCTCACTGCAGTCTCCACCTCCTGGGTTCAAGCAATTCTCCTGCCCCAGCCTCCCGAGTAGCTGGGACTACAGGCGCCCGCCACCACCCACAGCTAAATTTTGTACTTTTTAGTAGAGACAGGGTTTCACCATGTTGGCCAGGATGGGCACAATCTCTTGACCTCATGATCTGCCCGCTTCGGATGATGATATTTTTAAGAAATTTGTCCTTTGATTAACGTTCACTGTCTTACATGAAATATTTAGGAGAAGGGATTAGCTTCTCTAAGCTTGTGTGTTAGTACACTTGGTTTGCCAGAAAGGAATGTCTGAGACGGGGCAGTTTATAAAGAAAGAGGTTACTTCAGTTCACGTTTCTACAGGCTATAGAATATCTGCACCATAGCATGGTGGTGGCACGTGCTTCTGGTGAAGCCTCAGGAAGCTTGCAGTCATGGCAGAAGGCAAAGGGGGAGCTGTTGTAGCACATGAGGAGCAAGGGGTCAAGCCATGCACGAGGCGTCCGCCCCGTGACCCAAACACCACCTACTAAGCCCCACCCTCAGCACTGGGAATTATATTTCGCTATGAGATTTGGAGAGACAAATGTCCAGACCACATCAGCTTGCTCTCCAGTTTCAAGTTTCTGAATCCGAGAACCTTGAAAGTGGTTTGGCTGCATGTAACAAAAAACTCAGACGATGATGATGATTTACCAAATCATCAGGGCTTTATTTTTGTCAGTAGTAAGCCTAGAGGTGAAGAAATTATTGGTGTTCATTCATAAGCTCAAAGATGTCAGGTTAGATGTCTCTTCAGTTTTCTTCATCTTTGCCTTGTGGTCTCAACATGACAGCGCCTGTTTTTTCTAGTATATTCCGGTGATACTGCAGCCACTGAGAGAGAGTAACAGCAATATGAAAGGCAGAAAAGGACTGAGTTTGTTTGAGCGTGTTTTCTGTTTTTATTAGCTTCTGAGTTGCTCTTGGACCTAACGCAGTATCTAAGCTTGATTTAATTTGGTAACTTTGAACTGAAAAAGCAGTTACTCTTCTGCCTGCTCATTAAAGGAAAATATGAATCTCTTTTGATGTTGTCCCTGAATTTTAAGTTATATCACCTTTTTTGCCTT